AAACCAAGGTTTGTTACCATTTGTTAAGCTTCTTGATATGACTAATTTCTTTCTCTTATTATTCAGAAGGCACACCAAATAATTGATTAGGAAATAGCATTCTCCTACAGCCTGTTTTATATCTTTGTTTAGTCATTCGCACCATGAAGAGCCCTGCTCTTCTGAGCCTTGGCTCACAGACTTCTCTGCTGCCACCTTTTGTTCTGCCGGCGCTGCCTTGCCATCAGGTGACCACAGGTGATGCAAAAACTGCTCTGTGACGGGCCCCCTACTCCCCAAGTGTTTGTTAAGAGCAAAACTCATCCCGTTCCTGTGAATGAGATGTGCAAATAATGGTACATGCTGCATTTCAGCATGAATGAAAGCATCGCCTGTTCTTACCATTGCTTTTCCTCAAGTTATCTGCAATTAGTTGGGTGGTTGGCTACCAGTATACTTCACTGATACTGAGCAGTCTTCCAGTGCTTGTTGGTGAGGTTCGCCTCTTGTCATTTTATCTATTTTGTTAGAAATGGCATACTAAAGAAAATCATAGTCACAAATCAACACAGTCCCCCAGGCTAGAGAAGTACTTTCAGGCTATCTGAAATCAATATGTATGTTTCAGGTTCTCCTGGGGTTTTCCAAAGTCACAAGACACAGTTGGAGCCCCGGTATGAGACTGTCCTGCTGGAGATGCTGCCACCTGGAGATACGCCCTTTAGAAGGCATGAGCTGCCTTGGGTGCTCCACGCAATCTGAAACTCGTGCCTCTTTGACGAATCACAGGATGGGCACCCCAGATTGCTGTCATTTCTCAAAGGAACATTGATGTCTGTCTGTTTGGTGCCTGTATGTATATATTGACTTTGCACACAAACGTATGAATGTATGTGTGTGTGTGTAGGCATATGTATCGGTGGATGGAGGCGCGCGCGCACCTGCAGCTTTTCGGAAGCATCCCGTTCATCCAGCGCGGTTGCTGTGGCAGATCTGCTTCTGACAGGAGGGTGTTCGTATGCTGAGGCCAAGGAGCTCAGGCAATACTGTCAGCTCTGGGATCAGTCTGTTCGGTTGTCTCAGACCCGTCTTTCTCCCTCTGGGCTTGAGTTTATCCCATTTGTAACTCCTTTTTTCTGTGCACTGCTTTTCGATCAGCTGTTGAAATGTGATTATACAAAGCCCAGTAATTGTTGTCATGTAACTTACTTTCTCACTGTGTTTACTTGTAGATGGTTAGTCAATAAATCAATCTGAAATTGACCATAAATACGTACCTTTAGCTTATATTGCTGAGCACTGGAAAACAGTGTATAATTTAAGAGTTATTAGTATATTCTAGTAGGCAATTATTTGCTAGGACAGCTAAATCAAACTCCTGTCTGACCTGCACTGAGGCTGAATTTGGCATCAATTGTAGGATTCCCCTCACCAAACTTCACCTATGTTAGTGTCAGTCGAGGCTGCTGCTGCTGCTGTAGATGGAGAAAGACGAAATCCCCAGGACTACACTTCTTCCCTCCTCTTTTCCTCAGCCATGGGAAAAGGCAAGACCTAAACCCACATGCTAAAATCGTAGAATGGTAGAAACACAGGTTGGAAACAACCTCTAAGATCATCGAGTCCAACTGTCAACCCAACACCACCATGTCTACTAAACCATATCCCAAAGTGCCACGTCTAACACGTTTTTTGAACGCCTCCAGGGATGGTGACTCCACCACTTCCCTGGGCAGACCTGTTCTCTAAAGCCCTCACCAGGAACACTGCCCTTCTCTGGACACGCTCCAGCACCTCAAAGTCTTTCTTGTAGGAAGGGGTCCAAAACTGCATACAGTACTCCAGGTGCAGCCTCATCAGTGCCCAGTACAGGGGCACAATCACTTCCCTACTCCTACTGGCCACACTGTTCCTGACATAAGCCAGGATGCTATTGGCCTTCCTGGCCACCTGGGCACACTGCTGGCTCATGTTCAGCTGGCTGTTGATGAGTAACCCTAGGTCCTGTTCCGCTGGGCAGCTTTCCAGCCACTTCTCCCCAAGCCTGTAGACATTGCATGGGGTTGTTGTGACCCAAGTGCAGGACTTGGTATTTGGCCTTGTTGAACCTCATACAGTTGGCCTCGGCCTATTGATCCAGCCTGTCCAAATCTTCTGCAGAGCCTTCCTACCCTCAAGCAGATCAACGCTCCCACCCAACTTGGTGCCATCTGAAAACTTACTGAGGGAGCACTCAGTCCCCTCATCCAGATCATTGATAAAGATGTTAAACAAGGCTGGACCCAAAATTGAACCTTGGGAACACCATTCATGACCACCCACCCACTGGATTTAACTCCATTCACCACCACTCTCTGCGCTCGGCCATCCAGCCAGTTCTTTATCCAGTGAAGAGTCCACCCATCCAGACCATGGGCAGCTAGTTTCTCCAGGAGGATGCTGTGGGGAACAGTGTCAAAGACCTTACTAAAGTCCAGGTAGACATCATCCATAGCCTTACCTTCATCCACTAGGCGTGCCACCTGGTCATAGAAGGAGATCAGGTTGGTCAAGCAGGACCTGCCTTTCATGAACCCATTCTGGCTGGGCCTGATCCCCTGGTTGTTCTTCACATGCCTGGTGACTGCACTCAGGATGAATCGCTCCATAATGTTCCCTGGCACCGAGGTCAGGCTGAGAGGCCTGTAGTTCTTGGGATCCTCCTTCTGGCCCTTCTCGTAGATGGGTGTTACACTGATGATCCTCCAGTCATCTGGGACCTCCTCTGTTAGCCAGGACTGCTGATAGATGATGGAGCTGCTTGGCCAGCTCCTCTGCCAGTTCCCTCAGCCCTCTTGGGTGGATCCAGCCCCATAGACTTGTAGGTGTGCAGGTGGCGTAGCTAAGGTCGTTAACTGCTTCCTCCTGGATTATGGGAGGTTTATTCTGCTCTCCTTCCCTATCTTCCAGCACTGGGGGCTGAGTACCCTGGGAGTAACCAGTCTGACTATTAAAGACTGAGGCAAAGAAGGCATAAAGTACCTCAGCCTTTTCCTCATCCTTGGTGGCAATATTCCCCCCCTCATCCAGTAAGGGATGGAGACTCTCCTTGGCTCTCTTTTTGTTGCCGATGTATTTGTGAAAACATTTTTCGTTGTCCCTTACAACAGTGGCCAGCCTGAGTTCTAGCTGGGCTTTTGCCTTTCTGATTTCCTGTCTGCACGACCTAACGAGACCCCTGTACTGCTCTTTAGTCTCCTGCCCTTTCTTCCACTGGTGGTAGACCCTCCTTTTTTTCCTGAGTCCCAGCAAGAGCTGCCTGTTCAGCCAGGCCGGTTGTCTTCCCTGTCTGTGCTCTGGTCCCCTGATCATCTTGTTGGCCTTGCATTGGATTCACTTCAGCGTGTCGTTGTATGTCTCATACTAGGAGCCCAAACCACGACATAATCTCCCAGGCATGGTTTCACAAACACAAGGAGAAGTCAAGAATCATTTCCCGCAGCCTGCTGGCTATACTCTTGCTAGTACAGCCCAGTGTTTGGTTGGTCAGGGATAAACCGCTGATGGACTCGTACTCGTGTTGGAGTTGTACACTGGGACACTGAGGAGTTTTTCTGCAAAGACAGTTTGTATGTAGTAAGTTTTTGCCCAGCATGTCCTGCTTCATGGGCTTGTTCCATCCCAGACATGGGACTTGTCATTTGACTTTGTTCTGCTCCCTGAGGTTTGTCTCAGCCCATTTCTCCAGCCTGTCTAGGTGACTGCAAATAGCAGCCTTGTCCAGCAGTGTATTGACTGTTCCCTCCAGTCTGGTGTTACCTGCAGACTTACAGAGAGTTCAAAGGAACCATATACCAAAGTTCTTCATTGAGACAGGTCTTCTTCTCACCGAGAAGTCTGTACGTCTTCTGAGCAGGGTGTGAGGAGTTACAAGCACAAGCAGCTTCATATTATGAGCTTATAACTAATATTCTGGTGAGAAATAGCTCTCTCAAGGTCACTGCAGGTAGTCCTCTACTGCAGGGTGATGTTTGTACCGCTTTGTCACGAGTCCATCATTGGCTAGAGCAATGGAGGACAATTTCTTAAATCTTATTCTTTGGACTGTGTTTCAGGATGGTTCAGACTTAAGCACATAGACAGGGGGGAGGGAGGGGAAGCTGTATGTCGTATGTCTGGGACAGATCAGCCGTGTGAGACAGTCTTCAACCGTTGAAGTAGATTTCATAATCTGAGTATAGGGGAGGAGTTTGTTTTCCTTTAGCTGTGCTCAACTCCATCAGTTGATTTCCAGTCTGATGTCAGACCTGGGTGATTTGTGTAGTATGTCCAGACTATTCATTTTAGAGTGGTGAGCTTCATTTTTGCTACCCATTGGTGTTATGCACTGAGTTTTTAACCCTTGGGATGTTGTCAGAACTGCCAAATTGTTCCCCTACTATATGTTCACACTGACATTTCTTAGTATTTTCTGTCCCTTCATGGAAGGTTGTGGGAGCCCAGTAGCAATTCCCAAACCCCTAAAAAGTGATTAACAATTATTGTTCTGTAAGTGCTTAATATGCGATTAAGACAGACCACAAGGTGTTTATGCAATAACACACAGTAGCATGGAAATTCAGCTCTAGCTATTACAAGGTGTAAAGAGAGTAAGTGTCTGCCCCCAGATCAGCAATTTTTTTTCATGCTTGTATAATACCCCATTTTCTCTAGCAGGTTGTGCAATTCTATTATTTTTAAACTTTTCATTCCTTGATTGGGGTTTATCTGTGTTTATAGTAGCAGGATTGATCTGTAACCGCAAGATCAGTTTCTGTTAAAGGTATTTTTCTTGCACAATCAGTAAGCTGTGAAGCCACGTTTTTAGTTCGTCCTGTTGTATCTAACATGGCATATTTGTGTACAGCAACAATGGAAGGGGGCTACGCTTCACATTGCGGGTTTGAAGTAAGTGGCAGTGAAGTAGCTTAGGAGCTGAGCAAATGCTCTTCTGTAGCGAATTGTATCATTCACAGTGTCTTTTTTTTTTTTTTCTTTTTCAGGAGGTTGGAAGCATAATTGGAAAGGTCAGGAAATTACTTTCTCTCTTTATTTTCATGTCAAAATATTGTATATCAGTTCACTTCATCAGCCCAGGCTAACTTTTTTTTCTGTTTCTTTAACAGAAAGGTGAGACAGTTAAGAAGATGAGGGAGGAGGTAAGACAAGCCTTGATGTCTTTACTTGCCTTTCTTTCCCGTTCAGAGCACGGGAAAATTCAGCGTGTGCAGACCGACACTGCCATCACGTGGGCAGTTAATTTGACAGCACCTTTCCTTGCAAGCGGTGGTGTGTAAATGTGCCGGCCCAAATTAAACGTTGTTGTTAATGTAACCTCCTTATCGCCACAGCAGCCTGGAGCCTTTCATTCCCGTAGCAATGTGCCTGCTGCTTGTCTTATCACAGGAGCAGCTTAGCCAGCATGATTCTGTGCATCAAAACCACGGTATCTTTCTTTAGCATACCAACATCAGTCCTGCACGTGGCTTGGCGTCCTGGTAGGGAGCTTCCAAAACCTGAAACCAAGCATACAGGCAGATACTGTGTAAAGTTTGAGGGTAGACAGAAGCTTCAGCAGAGCTGGAGCCAGGCTTGCATAAGCCAAAGTATCCCTCTGCCATGTCTTGGCAAAGCCCTAACTTGTCATCGTGCAGCTGTGAGTAGGACGTGGACGGGGTAGACTCGCACATGCACCATTCGCATCCTTTGAAAAGGTTGTAAACACAAAAAGGCTGACTAAAACGTGGCACTGCGTAAACCTCAGCCTCCCCCATGTCCGCAGGCTTCTTTCCCTGCCGCAGAGCGAGCTGCGCTGCCTGCAGAGGGTTGTGCCCAGGTGGAGGTTACTGACGCTCGCTTGTCCTGCAAGGCAGCGCATCTTATCTGGAGATCCATGTAATTGTCCTTCTTTGAAACAAGTGCTAAAAGCATACGTCAAAAGACAGATCCTACCGCTTAAAACTTTAGGAGTGCAGAGTGTATGGAGGATGTCTAAAGAAAAATCAGTTTGGTTCTGGTAAATCTGCAGTACATTACTGTCAGCTGCTTTGTTGTTTTATAGACTGATAGAAGGTCTGTGACAAGGAAATCTCAAAGTATTTGTAGTAAAGAAAATTGCTGAGATGCATGTTTAAATATAGACAATAGGGAGTTCCTTGTCAGGCCGACCGAGTTCAGAGCTCCTTTTTTCATGCTAAGAGTTTTCACCCATGTTTTCACACGTAAGTACATTTGCTAAGACTTAAAAAAAAAATACAAGAAAAAACAGATTTCCAATACACTAGGTAATCCTGCCAGTTGATTAAACACATTGTAGTTTAATTACTAATTATGATCACAGGCAAGTATCTTTGGATATAAATTGCATGCACAAAAGGGAAGCCATTATTGGACAGTGCTCCTGACTTCTGAATTAAAGAAAGAGTTATAAGTAATAACAAATGTTCTTCCTCCACTCTTGAAAACCTACCATCACGTACACATGGTCACAAGAGGCTTTATTTGGTAGTTTGGGGTTTTTAACAAATTATATGCATCTTTATATCAGCACAGGAGTAAGAGGCTATGTCTCTGTGTGGTGGTATCACAGTCCTTCTTTCCAGTAAAATAAGGGGCCAAATTAACCCGGATTATCTCATGTTTGCCACAGGCCCAGATCCTTGGGAAGGTCAGTGCCTGTGGAATAGTTGAGGCTCTGGTGATTTGTTATGCTACATGAACATATTTCCATGCCTGAAACCCCAGGGAAAGTGCAGGGTGGGTCTTACCTGAACTGGATTCAGCCTTTATCTACACCAAGATCTTCTTGAGTACACTTACATCTGGTTTAGGGGTTTTCTCTGCACTGCCACAGTGGCATGAAGCGGACTAAATGTACCTGAGAGCCATCCTGGCTTGTCTCTAAGACTTACGGTTTTCGAACTCCTTCTGACAGGCTCCTTGGCTTAAGGAGACAGCATTGTTATTGTTGCCTGTCCTACCCCTACTCCTTTAAGGGTTATTCAGTGCTTATTGATTGACTGCCTTCACATAAGACACATTTGTAAGGAACCTTCTCCACAGCGCACAGCAATGCCCTGGCTAGACAGATAGATCAAGCCCTGCCTTTGGGTCTCCAAACCAGAGAGGTTCATCTTTCCTGGGAATGGTTGATGCTCCCTGGAAACAACAATCTCATCTGAAATTCTGGTCCTACTTAAGGTTATCCATGCAAGAGGGAAGGGAAAAGACTTGATTGTGCAATTATTTGCAGCTTTGAGTTACAGAGGTGCTATTTGCATACCACGATGAAGCCTGTGTAAGTATTTACACAGGCAGAATCTGGCTTCCTGCAGTTAGATGGATTTTTGCAGTGTGATCAGTTTATGCTGAAATTATATGATGTTGGGGCTGCAATTGTAGGGGAGGGAATTAGATGCCTCAGGATATTCCTTCCCGAACTATCTTCCTAATCCTACTTTGTTTCCTCCCTGGGAAGTATAAATTTGAAAAATATTTCTTCTTTTTGACAGAGTGGTGCTCGAATCAATATTTCAGAAGGCTCCTGTCCAGAGAGAATTGTGACAATAACAGGCCCAACAGATGCAATTTTTAAAGCTTTTTCTATGATTGCACTAAAATTTGAAGAGGTAAGCAAATAAAATACAGCTTTTCTCTCTTCAAGTTGAAATACAAACACTGTTTGAATTTTCTCATGTTTGCTTTAATGTTAAATATGATTTGTTTAATGTTCTATTTAATAGCAATGAAAGTGGTTGTATTTTTATAAATGCTTTTGGCAGTAAAGCTGAAGAAAAATAATGGGTCAATTTACAAGCTGTTTGATCATTTCTTTTGCTTTTTGGAGGCTTCAGGGAAAAGCAATTGCGTCTGGTAATGTGCACTAATGGTAGAAAAAATGTCTTGGAAAATTTCTGGTCCCATTGTGGGTTTGATTTGAAAAGAATGATTGCCTAACTTTGAGCTCTGTCTTTATATGATTCCATTTGGTATTGATGTAAATTTTATAAGTGTGAAAATGAACATGTATCTCATTTAACTAGAAAATCTCTGTTTTAAAAACAAACTATATGATTACCAGTTACCATATTTAAAGCTTGGTTTTTAAAATTAATTAAAATAAAGGCACTAAGAGTCGGTGAGGCAGAGCTCAATGTACTGTAGAATAACTGTTCTGTGCAGATGCATGCCTAAAGTACTGGGAAACTTCACAGAAAAGACAGCAAACTACAGAGCATGAACACTGGGTCACTCAGGAGAGGATTTAACTCCCTCTGCTTTCAAAAATCATATATCTAGTCCAGACATCTCTCCTGTCCAATCTAGAGAGACAGAGGCCCCTGTGGAAGGCAATTCACCTTCTCCCAAAGCAAGAGCCTGCAGACAGGTGGGCTGAATCACCTGCAGCAAGAGAAGGGGGCTGTGGCTCTCCATCAATGATTAGACTAGAGGGATGTGAATCTCTTCTTAAGAGTACCTCTCCAAGTCAGTGAGGTTAGTCTCCATATCTCCCCGTAGCACTGGGCGGTGCTGGCATTGATGGGAAATGTCAGCGTGTGCCTTTGTTTACCCGTGGTGATTGTTCCTATTTAGAACAACGGTACTAGAAGAGAGCTTCTGGGTCACCAGATGCAGTTGACTTCTAGCATAAGCTGTATGCCTTGCAACTTCACAGCATGATCAAAAACTAGGTAGGTTTTTTTCTGTTTCCTGATACTGGATTCACAACCTCAGTTCTCTGATAATCAGACAGCTTCTTTTCACTCCTCACTCGAATTTAGTCATGAACAGTTTATGCATCTTGGTTTCTGTGCTAGCACTGGCCATTAGTTTAAATAATTCTTGCCTTTCCATCACTGAGGATTCCTCTCTCAGACGTATTTTTAGAACCAGTTTTATCCCCTCACACCCTTGCTTTTGCCAGAGTAAGTGAGCCAAGTTCAGTCTTGAAGAGGACGTACTCCCCACCCCTCTTGTGACTCTAGTAGTCCCTTTCTACCTTTTTCCAGTTGCAGTTTATGTTAAATGTGCGTGTTAATTGTGGACAGGTTGGAAATGAAGTTCAACGTGATCCTATTTAATGATGCTAACTGTCCCCTGTCCTGGCTATCACGCTAACATATCCCTGCCGCTGCTGGAAATGCCTCATCTCCTGCTGGTGTAATGTTTTGCACACAGCCATGCTGTGCCTGGTGGGTGTCCCCAGCTCCTGCTCAGGTGTTTTCAGTGGGAACCTCTTCAGTCTTGGCAGACATTCCTGTCAGCCCCCAGACAAATGACCCTTTTTTTATATACTGAAAATGTTAATTCCATTTATATTTCTCAAATCTTTCATGGGTTTTCAGATCTTCCTGTGTGATATTTCAACATGTTGATAAAGTACCCTGGTTTTGTGGCATGATAGATTTCATAAGGATGCTAATTTTTTTCCTTAACAGTTATTAACGAGATAATAGTGATTTTGAGGTTGTATCCTGCAGAACCACACAAGTAATTCTGTCCAGCCCAATTTCAAAACCGGCTGTTCTCATCTCTTTCTCAGCTTTATCTCGTATGCATCATGAACCAATCCTTGTTTCTTCTAGCTTAAGAGGGAGCTTCATGTACGGTACCATACGCTCCAATCCATGGAGACCTGGGGAGAGCCGTCTCTCTGTTCTCTAGGTGAAAACATGTGTTCTGCTTAGGGCCTTATCCTGAAAAATGCTGAGGGAATCATTAATAGAGGTAATCCCTGCCAGTTCCCACCAAAACGAGTACCCAGTGGAAATAACACTGCATTTCTCATAAAAACATAGAATCATGGAATGCTTTGGGCTGGAAGGAACCTCTAGAGGTCATCTAGCCCAACCCCCCTGCAGTGAGCAGGGGCATCTTCAACTAGACCAGGTTGCTCAGAGCCTGGTCCAACCTGGCCTTGAATGTTTCCAGGGATGGGGCCTCCACTACCTCTCTGGGCAACCCGTTCCAGTGTTTCACCACCCTTATGGTAAAAAATTTCTTCCTTGTATCCAGTCTAAATCTACCCTCCCTTAGTTTAAAGCCATTACTCCTTGTCCTATCGCAGCAAGCCCTGCTGAAAATATTATCCCCATCTTTCCTATCGGCGCCCTTCAGGTACTGAAAGGCTGCAATAAGGTCTCCCTGCAGCCTTCTCTTCTCCAGGCTGAACAGCCCCAACTCTCTCAGCCCTTCATCATCGGAGAGGTGTTCCAGCCCTCAGATCATTTTTGTGGCCCTCCTCTGGCCCTGCTCCAACAGCTCCATGACTTTCCTGTGCTGAGGGCTCCAGAGTTGGACTCAGGACTCCAGGTGGGGTCTCACCAGAGTGGAGTAGAGGGGCAGAGTCACCACCCTCGACCTGCTGGCCACGCTGCTTTTGATGCAGCCCAGCATATGGCTGGCCATCTGGGCTGCGAGCGCACATTGGTGGCTCATGTCCAGCTTTTCATCCAACATCAAACACTGCACAGCATTGGATCCTCACCCCACCACCCAACATGATATAGTTTTAGAAAATGTTGTAGCTAGAAATAGGCAAAGAAATCTGAAAATCAGGCATCTGACTGGATTTTATGCGTACTTGCTCTTGTAGATTTTAGAGGGTAGTCTGGACTCTTCAAGTGGATATTAGCAAAAGGGTATTGGCATTCCCTGCAGATAAGGTACTGCAGTTACATTCTGAAATATCTGTGTTTAGTTTTAGTATAATTGGCTTCTGGTATATTTAAAAGAACAGTGGTAAAGAAAAATGTCTCATATAATCAGTTAGGTTTCCTATAATTATTCCTGTCAATAAAATGAGGTAACTGTAACACTTTGGAGGCAAAATAAAGTGCTGTTTCAGAAATTACAAATGAGCTAGCTACCAAATGTTGTTTTTCATGGATATCTTTTTGTTGGAGATTTTTTCAGCCATTTAAAAAATTGTAAATTCCAGAGCAGACAGTGCCTGGCCCAGCTCTGGTTATCGCAGCTACCTTCAAACAGAACAAAAAAGGTGCATACATGAGACTGATGGTTGGAGGGATTTTCTGGTATTTGTTATGCATGCCCACATGAAGCATTTTGACATGAAGTCCTTGAACCCTTACTTTGAACCCTACAGCTGCATAGCTGGCAATAAGCACATCTAGGAAGACATGGGAGCCCTGGAATGCTTTTCTAATATTATCAAAAATCTCAAAATGCATCAGATACAAAAAAAAGAAAGATCTGGAGGAGCGTTCTCTGTGCGGTTGCTCTGCAGCTTTTTATCACTCTGCTTTGACACTTCCTAATAAAACTTGATTTTCTAGCAGCCTGATGATGAATTGACAAGTGTATTGGGTTTGTGTGGCAAGGTTTTGGTAGCGGGGGAGCTACAGGGGTGTCTTCCATCCATGGAGGTGTTAAAAAAATGTGTAGACATGGCACTTCAGGATATGGTTTAGTAGGCATGGGGGTGATGGGTTGACGGTTGGACTTGATGATCTTAGAGGTCTTTTCCAACCTTATTGATTCTGTGATTGTATGATTCTGTGAGAAGCTGCTGGAAGCTTCTCCTTAGGCATGGGGGTGATGGGTTGACGGTTGGACTTGATGATCTTAGAGGTCTTTTCCAACCTTATTGATTCTGTGATTGTATGATTCTGTGAGAAGCTGCTGGAAGCTTCTCCTATGTCCAATAGAGCCAATGCCAGCCAGCTCCGGGACGGACCTGCCACTGGCCAAGACCGAGCCCAGTAGCAATGGTGGTAGCACCTCTGGGATGACATATTGAATCAGGAAAAAAAATTGCAGTGCGAGAGAGTAGTGAGAATATGCAAGTGAAGCAACTCTGCAGACACCAAGGTCAGTGAAGGAGGGGAAGGAGGTGCTCCAGGCGCCAAAGCAGAGGTTCCCCTGCAGCCCATGGAGAAGACCATGGTGAGGCAGGCAGTGCCCCTGCAGCCCATGGAGGTCCATGGTGGAGCAGATATCCACCTGCAGCCCAGTGAGGACCCCACGCCGGGGCAGGTGGATGCACCCAAAGGAGCCTGTGCCCCCATGGGAAGCCCACCCTGGAGCCGATGCTGGAGCAGCCTGTTCCTGAAGGACTGCACCCTGTGGAAGGGACCCACGCTGGGGCAGTTCATGGAGGACTGCAGCCTGTGGGAAGGACTCATGTTGGAGAAGTTCATGGACAACTGTCTCCTGTGGGAGGGACCTCATGCTGGAGCAGGGGCAAAGTGTGAGGAGCCCTCCCCCTGAGGAGGAAGAAGCGGCAGAGACAAGGTGTGATGAACTGACTGCAACCCCCATTCCCTGTTCCCCTGCGCTGCTTGGGGGGAGGAGTGAGAGAAACAGGAGTGAAGTTGAGCCCAGAAAGAAGGGAGGGGTTGTTTTGAGATTTGGTTTTATTTCTCATTATCCTACTCTGATTTGATTGGTGATAAATTTAGCTAATTTCCCCAAGTCAAGTTTGGTTTGCCCGTGATGGTAATTGGTGAGTGATCTCTCCCTGTCCTTACCTCGACCCTTGAGCCTTTTGTTATATTTTCTCTCCCCTGTCCAGTTGAGGAGGGGAGTGATAGAATGTCTTTGGTGGGCATCCAGCCAGGGTCAACTGACCACAACAAGCTAGGTAGGTGATTACATAAACAACTAAAGCAGTCACTGCAGAGTAAAAAGAGAGTTGTTAAAAAATGGCACTAACCCAGACAAACCACTGGAGTTGTAAGGGAGGACATTTTAGAGCGGTGATTTCCAGACTGGAGGCGGAGACCCAAGAAATGCAGCTGTAAGTTCACTGCTGAGTGGGGCAGCTCTGATTTTGGGTATAAATATGCATAATCCACTAGAAGCACGTGGCAGTTCAGTGCTGGAAACTGGAAAAACCATCAGGCAGATCTCAGTGGTCAGACCACTTATTTCCCAAAGAAATAAGAAAAAGTTTGGTAGAATCCTCATTGATTTGTAAATGTTAAGAAGAAATTGCTCTGCTCTAGGAATAAGGAGGAGAGAAAATCGAGGTGATAAAAGCAATTGAGATGATGCCTTTTTGACAAATACTAACTCCTGCTGCTACAGTGAATCCTGTGGTGGTCATTACCAAGTGAGAAGCCACCTCACAGACTCATTGTACTTGCTGTGGAAATTGGCAGGTTTAACATTTCATTTAGAAACTAGTAAAGAAGAATTTTGATGGTTTTTTTTTTTCCATGGAGGTTTGGTAGCTTTCTGAGCTGCTAGGTTTGCGTGCCTTGGGAAGCCTTAGACACTGTGACTCTGGGATCCCAGGAGCTAGGGATGCTGCAAGGATTCAACACTGGGTCTCCCACCACTTCCAGGCTCCCAGTTAGCCCATTCTGGCTGAGGAGCAGCCCAGGCAAGCAGGTGGAAAGCTGTCCCGAGGAAATGGATGCCATGCCACAGAAAGTAAGAGGTTAAAGAGATAGGTATCTCCCAGTTTGAAAGAGGAGTTCTGTGAGAAAGTCTCCAGCCAGCCCTACTTTGGAGCCTGCAGTTCTGGAGGGGATTTTTTTCTGTTCATTTCTCTTTTGTTGTGTTTTTAAGCTGGACTAACTCCTTTATGCACTCCATGCTGCTGAGTCTGTGTGTTTAGGTTTTGCTCCTTTTAAATGATGAGGAGAAAATAAGAGAATAGCGGCTTCCAGTTTTTGTGAAGTGCTTTTGAAGGCAGTAAGTGTGGTGAAGACTATGAGGCAAGGCCATAGGATATGGAAATGGGAGATACTAACAGGGTTGTGCTGGGTGGCTGAAGAGAGTTATTTACCTCCATCTGGATGATCGTGTGCCTCCACCTGACACAAACGTGATATAGTGAGATGGCACCTTTCAGCTGAAAAATTGGCAGGACTGGCACTTTATTTCAGATACATGGGTGCTGCAAAATTCCGTTATCCCTCTCGCTTTATTTTGGATTGCAGTCACTCACTGACACGGGCACTAAACAAAATGTGAGTTACTGGCTGGCAGAAGAATGATTTGATAGCTGTCTTGTGGTGTGCAGCAATGCCTCATCCCGTTCAAGACTTTTTTTCTTCGTTTTTAAGCTAAGCAAGGTCACACTGAGCCAGTTCTTGGAGGGAAGAATGCTGCCATCACAAATGCAGAGGTACTGCAGGAATCAGTGCTGGTGTCACCGAGCTCCCACAGAGGTTCAACAAGGCGTGCAGCGTTGTTTAAAGTTCTTTCTTTTAATTTGTGTCCTGATACACAGTAAAGCCACTTTTTCATATTTTTTAGCAAGCAGTAGTCTTGATAAGCGAGAATGTAGGGA